AGCCAGAGAGGCATCATCAACCGCAGAACGCAGCCCTGGGTCCATCCCTATGGCCACGCCCACCATGGAGGAGCCCTCCTTCTTGATAACGCTCTGGTACAAGGGTTTGGGGAGAAATTCAGGACCATTCTGTGTCCTCTGAGGGTTGTCTCCATCTGCAACATCAGGACAGGCAGACATGATGGTTCATCATAAGAAGAGCAAGTCTTATCCAGAGCCATAAAGCATCATCATCTGTTGTACATTCATCTTTAGCATCCGCTAAAGGTCATTTCTATTCATGCCCTGGTTCTGATTCCTAACCTGGACCGGTCCAGAATGTAGGACAAGTAAGCCTAAATGACAGTCCGATTGGAAACAGCTGTTGACTGTCGTACCTGTGTTTATTTTACTGATCAACAACGTAAGAAACGCCTTGGCCTGTTGCTATAGCGACCCTGGCTTCTTTTGAGAGTTGCCCAACATTTCTGAGTCCAACTGTCTTTCTGGTTCTGTTGGTTGACCTCAGCCAAGAAGGAAAACTATGCATCTGAATGGATATTTCTGGGTTAGTAGGACACCTGAAGGGAACCTCATTTTCAAGCCTCTCACTGGTCGTAGAATAAAAACTCTAAGGTCTCATTGGGTCTGTCCGATCTTCTTGTAGAACTCTAGATGCTTACAGAACATCTGTTGTTGGTCTCATTTATGCAGAACAAGAACAGATTGCAGTATCTGGCCTGCAGATATTGTGATATAGAAGTGCCTTGAACCAGTGAACCTGGTTCCCGTCTGTCCCTCTTTACCTGGTTGTGGGTGGCTGAATTTAGGTTCAATCAGGTTTTTTAATAATAAGGAGTGGAAGTCCACATTGTAATGACTCTTCTTTCCTTCAACTAATGTTTGAATCCAGGTTCTGTTCAACCAGTTGGACTTAGAGACTGGTTATTTGGACTCATCTTTCGTTCCAAACCCCGAACCTGGAGGTTTCACTGCAGAAACTGTTCCTGCCAGGACTGTGTTTCTGTCATCAGGTTTGAGGTTTGATTCAGCCTGGTCCAAATTAAAATGAAAGCTTCTATGACCCAGAACTGCTTGGTTCTCCTTCCTTTGTGCTGAGGTAGAATCCAGCTTCTCCTCTGTCAAACAATCAAACCTTTTGATTGAACCCGATAAAAATATCCAACTTTTTTCCTCATCAGGACATCAGATTCACTCTAGATTCCAAGCAGAACACAGGCTTTTTATCTGACCCTGGATCTGATTCTGCTGCAGCTCCAGAGTAACCTGGACAGTTTCAGGACAGTAAGAAGACTGTACAAACGGTCAACAGGGTCAGATCTGCTCCCAGAAATAGTCTCTGGAACAAAAGCATGGGCCTAACAACATAATGGAGGCTTATAAGAACATGCCTCAGCAGTGGAGCAGGCTGTGGGACGCTTCACAACCAGAATATGACAGGGAGAGGAGTCAGGGAGATATAGGGAGCCTCCGGTGGTACAGCAGCCTGCAGCAGACACAATACAAACACCATGCACACATTCCTTTGTGAGCCACACACTCAGCTTCTCCTCCTCAGACACTGAGTTAGTGATTTCTGACACCACAGCCCTCTTCCTTTCTGTTCATCCACTGCAGGACCACTGAACCTTCTGATGATTCCCTGGGTCGTCCATGAGCACAGAAAAGGGCTGGACCTTCCCATGAGGGTCAGCATGTGCAGCGCAATAAATCCACGGATGACAAAGAGCTCCCCATTTCCATCTCTAGTCTGGGAATCTGAGGTTGGTTCAGCGTGGCGTCATTATGGACGCCTGTCTCAGTCAGACAGCCACCTTGTGTCCCTTTGCTGGCTCGCCATCTCTACACAGAACGTTTCTTTTTCTGTTGTCCTACATGTCCTTCGTGTCAGTAGGAAGGCAAAATTTCTCTTGATCACCAGCATTAGGTTCAAACCATCTTGAGCCTTTTGAGAACAAAGCTCCAAATTTTGATCTAAATATGCCAACATTTTTAGTAACTGATAGTTCATGAAATTATGTTTTTATCCAAGTCAGCTCTAATTGGCAGGAAGATGTGGCTTCATTTCAGGAAGTGTCAGTTTGCAGCTTAACATTAATGTGTCTCTATCAAAGGGATCAGAAAGACTCCAAACTAGGTTAGATCCATCTCAGTTTTTAGAATCAGGGAGAACTTCTGATGGAGGAGTCCAGCTAACAGCTCCTCAGAGGACAACCCGTTAAAGGACGAACTTCTGCATATAAAACATTTTAAAACTTCCAATTATTTTCTACTAATTGTTCTATGAAGCTCTGTTAAATCTCACTACTTTAGCCTCAGACCACTGATTATGTTTTCATTATTTTCGTACCTAAAGAACACTTGTTGGCTACATCAGGCTAACAGAATAAAACGTGGGTCAGTCTTCCAGGAGCTGTTCCACGTCTCAATCCAACACTTGTTGCTTTGCTAACTAGAGAGTAGTGGAAACATCTTCCGGCTCTGTGTTAGCTTGATGCTAATCTATGGGTCCAGTTGGGTCGTCTGAGGGAGGGATCGACGGGAGCTGCAGAACGTTCTCTCAGCTGGGAAACCTGCTCTAAAGCTCCCGAAGGTTGAGGAGCCCCAGTGGATGATATAATGAGAACATACAGTGTGTGAGCCTGTTTCTAAGCTCAGGAGATAATATTCTACAGATTGGTGGCGTCAGACAAGACAGAGCTGAACTTCAATTGTAGAAGTGGTGGAGCTCCATGATGATGATGGTGAGGCAGAAAGCAGCACACAGACAGACGCTTGGTCCTGTTCAGAAGGGGGCAGAAATGATAAAGCCCCAGAGTTTCATCTTCAGAACCATTATTCTGTTCAGTTGGATCATCTGCAGCCTTTTGACGCCAAGCGGCCACTTCTCAGAGCTCCTACAGCTGCTTTCCTTAGAGTGCTAAAGTGATGCGTACCTTCGGAGCAGCTGTCGTCACTGCTGACACTCAGCCTCTCTGCGTTGCCCTGAACGTATTTGTTGTAGAGTTTGATCCTGAGTGCCCAGCTCAGGTCCGGCTGCCTA